GAGCGCCCTGTGCTTGCTGGGGGGCGGTGACAGGGTGCTCTGCCCCCGCTTCCAGCCCCGCTCCTCTGGCACGGCCGGCTGGGATGGGGGCGGCTCCATCCCCGCATCCCCCCGCGGCTCCCGGGCCTCCAGCCCCATCACAAAGTCCTCCAGGCCCAGGATGGCGTCGGCGGTCTCGAGGACGCTGCAGTCGGGGCCGAGCAGCTCCTCGGGCAGCGAGAGCCAGGCCAAGTCACGGCTTCAGTCCAGGCTCCGCATCACAGCTGATGAGGTCACAATGGCCACAGTGGGGTCTCTGTTGCTGGGGCGCACTGGGGGCCACTTGAGCTCCACTTGCTGAGAGCTGCACTGGTGTCCTGGGGGAATCTGACCCCTGATTGCTCTGGAGGGTCGACTGACCTCAAAACCAGTGACCGACGTGAGGATGAACCCGAGTGGGGGCTACAACACGTCCCTTCTGGAAGAGTTACAGGTACCACAGCCGGGGCTCTGCCGAGGGGCTGATCATCCCCCAGCCAGGGGGAGAACTCTCCCCAAAATCCCATTGGCATTTCCTCGGTGCACAGGAGGGCGATGCTTTGCGCCAGGGAGGGCTGCCGGGGCTGGTGTCGCTGGTTGGAGCCCAGAGGAAAAGTGGTTTCTAAGACACTTTCCCCATGTCACCCAGGGGCGTTTGAAAGCGGCGACTCCCAAATCGCTCCGTTTCTGCCCACTCCAAAACCCATGTAACACACTTGAGCTTGTGATTTTATTTAAATTGCTTTTTTTTAATTTAAATTGTGATTTAAAGCAATTTTATTAAGCCCTTTCATCCCATGGTTTTTCCAAGGTCAGGGTTTGGGGTTTTCTTGACAAATCCAGAGGGGAGCAGGATGCGTTGCTCGGAAGGGACAGAGGGTGGTGGGGGCTGTCATCGGAGAGAGGGCACGATAATCTGGGTGCCGGGAAACATGGGCAAATCCCTGGAGCTGGCAGGGAGGTAGCAACAAGTTGGCTCTGAAATTAGTACTCAGGAACTAATGAGCAAACTCATCACCAGACAGGAGCGCTTGTTCCTGTTGCCCATCAGGTTAACCGGTGCCACCAAGTGCTTCCAGGAGGCCCTTTCACAGTCACAGTTGTGACCTGAGTGTGAGACCCAGTGGCTGGGATTTTCTTGCTTTGAATACGATAACCCTGGCAATGCCCTTCCCCAGCCCCGGTGGCAAGGGGAAAGAGAAGCCAAAGGACTTATTTCTGTTTGCCCCTGTAGTTCTCCTTCAGCTTTTAAGGCACAACTGCTCTTCATGCAGCACCAGCAGTGGTACTTCAGGCGAGGAGGGCATCAGCTCTCAGCCCTTGGGTTTTGTAAGGAGAAAATCGGTGTGTTTGGTGGGAAGTGCCCTTGCAGCAAGGGAAGCTGGAGCCTTGTAGGGCTGAAGATGAAGTTTTGTCCTTACAGGCTCTTGGGGGCCTTTGGAGGTTGTTGGTGGCCATGTCCTGTGGCCAAGGGCCAGCTAGTGAGTCCTGCAGGTATCGCCTTTGGAGACTGTAACCTGCTGTGATAAAAAGTGCAGGGTTTGGGTTTTTTTTCCCCCCAGTTTGGAAATCCCTCTTTGTTTGTTTTTAGAAAGGAATGACAAGAAGGAAGCAGGAGGTTTGTTTTTCTGGTCTGAAACCCTCAGCTCTCCTCCCTTGTAGTAAATACTTCCCGACTCACGTTGTGTAAAACAGAGGTGATGTTATGAGCTGTTTTATTTCAGTATGGGAAGAAAAAAGCTCCTACAAGTCCGTGTTTTTAGGGCTGTGCCTGGAGGAGGAGGCACGCAGAGGCCTTGTGGACTTGCGTGGAGGCCAGGGTGGATGATGGGTGGGAGGATGTAAGGGAGCTCCACACACCCAGCCCCAACTTGTACCTTCTTCTCATTGCTATCCAGAGACACGACGAGGAGGCAGTGATTGACCAGGGAAGAGTGAGCAACCTTGTCAATATTCACTATGAGAGGGAGGATTTGGAAGGTGAGTCTCTGCAAGTGCTGTGCTTCTGAATAAAGTAGCACAGTTCTTTTCACAGAATTTACTATTATGGCTTTTTTAACAAAGGGAAAAAAGCCCCTGCAGAGGCCATGGTGTGAGTTTTAAATGACCCAGAGCCATCACTTGTTGCTTAGTTGTTGCAAAGCTCGGATAAAATAAACCTCGATAAAAGGGTGGGTCTGTGACATTCAGGGATCCAGTGAAAATCACAAAATTAAGCGAAGTTGGTGTTTCCTCCTGGGATAGCTGCACTGTTTTAACTGTGATGTCTGCGTCAACCATCCCACAATAGTGAGAACACTGCAAATGCTGCTTTTTCTCAGGCCGCTGGACCCTGCCCATGGGCATGTGGATGCCGCTGGTGAGGCGGAGCCACCGGCATCACCGACGCCACAGCCAGAAGCATCGGAAACGGGAGCGGGAGAAGGACTCTGCCCCAACGGAGCCGGTCTACCACTGTAAGTCCCGCCGTGGCCTTCATTAAGCTCCTCAGCGCTATGTGGGTGCTGGGGTCCATGTGGCTAGCTGGAGTGACTTGTTGTTCTTCCGAGGGAAAGGGGCATTATTTAGCAATACTCCCTTTTCCCAAACTTTTCTCAGATTTTTTCTCTTTAAGGCAGTTAAATGCATAATGGAATTAGGGTCACCTTCCTTAGAGGGATCCTGGCTTTAAGAATAGAAATGTGGGGAAGGAAAACTGCCCATCCCTATGCAGAGGTGGAATCGAAGCTTCTCCTTCTCCGAGGCTCTGTGCAAGCCTGGCCAGAGCCAGGGGAGAGGGCCTAGCCCAATATTTGTGGCTGAACTGGTGCTGATCCGATGACCACTTTGCATGTGAGCGTGACGCGCCGTATTCAAGTGCAGTAACGGGACGGGCCTTTGTCTTCTACCCCCAGACACCCCATCCCAGCGGGTGCAGTTCATCCTGGGGACTGAGGAGGACGAGCAGCACGTCCCCCATGACTTGTTCACCGAGCTGGATGAGATCTGCGTGAAAGAGGGTGAAGGTGCCACGTGGAAGGAAACAGCAAGGTAAGTCTCTGCTGCTGGCTGCGGTAGGAGAGGAGTCCCCGTGCCGACAGCGCCAGCGGGCTCTGCTTTCTGCTCTGTGGGAGGCAAGGCTTTGCAGCTGCAGGTGATGCTGTGAGGAGCTCTCGGCGCCCCACAGCTCGATCCCAGGAGCTGCAGGGCTGGGGCTGTTTTCTTGCAATGGGGCTGACGGTGCTCGATGTCTGCAGGTGGCTGAAGTTTGAGGAGGACGTGGAAGATGGTGGCGAGCGCTGGAGCAAGCCCTATGTGGGAACGGTGTCCTTGCAGAGCCTCTTTGCGCTGAGGAGCTACATCCGCAATGGCACGGTGCTGCTGGACATTTGTGCCAACAGCATCGAAGAGATCGCAGGTACCGTGGGCGCGGCGAGTTGCAGTCGATCGGCCAAGGCAACTCTGGCAAAGACTGTGCCGTAGGTTGCTTATAAGTTGGTTAACTGTGTAGAGTCAGACAGAACGGCCAGACGTGGCAAGAGAATTGCATTATTTAGAATGGGAAATAATTACCTTAGTGAAGTCATGAATAAGCATTCTGATGATGTTTTTTTAGCAAAAGAAAATTCTTGCTGTGGCTGCAAAGGGTGAACTGTGTTAAAACATCTTGCTAAGCAAGGCTGAGCCCGCGTTAGGGTATCCTGCGTGGCATGGGCCTCCCCGGGGTCTTCGGGGGTCAGGACTTGTGGGGGTTTCTGCTCAGATGGCTTAATTTCCCTTTGCCATCCCCAGATGTGATCCTGTGCCAGCAAGAACAGTCCACGGAGTTTGACGAACACATGCGGGCGAAGGTTCGAGAGGTTCTTTTGAAGAAGCATCACCATCAGGACAAGAACAAAGGAAACAAGTTTTCTGACATTGTCCACTTCTTTGCTGACGAGAGCAAGAAGCCGCCAGACCTGCATGTCCTCGACAAGACAGGTGAGGGTTCCTGCAGGGCTTCGGCCCCATTAGACTGTTCCTGGCAAAGGGGAAACATCCCAGTTGCGCTGCGTCTGTCTTTCTGACTGTTTTTCTTTTTCCTACCAGCCCAAACACTCACCCCCCTTCCTTCTGCCACAGCTGCAGAAGCTAAAATTGGGGTGAACCAAGAGACCAGCACAATGGGTTTAAGCAAGGTGAGACACTTGTAACTTTCTTATGCTTTTGGGGCCAGATTTGCTCTTGCAAACTTGGCTGCAGAGTTCTGTGGGCTTTGTTTTGGGGGTAATTGCCTGAAAATTGCTTGTTGTGCCCAGGCGGAGCTGCACTTCATGAAGAAAATTCCTGTTGGCGCTGAAGTGTCCAACGTGCTTGTAGGAGAGCTGGATTTCCTTCAGCAGCCCATCATGGCATTTGTCCGCCTGACCCCGGCTGTCCTCCTCTCTGGCATGACAGAAGTTCCCATCCCGACAAGGTCTGAATGAGAAGCTGAGAATTTTATTTAAAAAAACCCAGCAAAACAATATCAGATTGCATGCATCAGTTTGGTGTCCCAAGGGAACAAGGCCAGCGGGAGCAAGCACGTTTCTCCCCTGCACATCTCCTCACCATTGTTTCTCTCTTCCCTGCTGTATCTTTTAAACCCACTGGCCAATTTTAATGACAGTTGGCCGAAAAGTTAGATTTGGGATGGGTTTTGGTGAATGTCAAATTCACCACAGAGTTGGTGAGCCTACGAGACCCCTCTCAAACTGTGCTCTGGGCTGGGAGCTCCCAGGGGTTTGCTTGGGTGGCCTTTGACCAAGGGCACGTTCGTCTCTCTCATGTTGTTTTTCTTGCCCAGGTTCCTGTTTGTTTTGCTCGGACCAGAAGGAAACAGCCATCACTACCATGAGATCGGCAGGTCCATGGCTACCCTCATGACGGACGAGGTGCGACGAGATAAGAGAGATCTCCGGGTCACTTTTGGCTTTCTTCCCCTCTCCCTGTCTCTGTAGTAGTGAGGAAGAGGATTTGCTGTCCCGCAGCTCTCCAAATAGCCCACCCCTCGTTCTCAGCCCAAAGCAAACACGCACATTTGCTAGAGGCTGAAATCCCACCCGGGGTGCATCCTGCACCTCGTCCTTCTCCCCGGGGGTTACCAGCGTGCTGTCCCCAGTGGCTGGCATTGCGAGGGCCAGGAAAACTTGCCTTGCTCCTGAAGGAAAAGGCTGTGGTGTGTGCCATGGGGGGCGGGGCCTCGTGCAGATACCTGGATGCACAGATTTTTCCTTTGTGGGGAATATTTCCTGCCATTTGCAGGGGAAAATGACCTTGCGTTTAGCCAAGAGCTGATTGCACTGCTCAGGCTGTCCGAGATGGGTTGTCCTCTCACCAGGTTGTCTCTTCTTGGCAGGTTTTCCATGACGTGGCCTATAAAGCCCAGAACCGGGCTGACCTCGTGGCCGGCATCGACGAGTTCCTGGATCAGGTCACGGTCTTGCCACCAGGAGAGTGGGATCCATCGATCCGAATCGAGCCCCCCCAAAACGTCCCTTCACAGGTGGGTGCTGCGGCACAGGGAGGCACGAGAGGGCCAGGCAGGACGGCAGCCTGGCTGGGGATGCTGCTCACGGCCCGAATTCCCAGGGTCCAGTTTGACGCAGTCACATTCCCAGAGCAGAAGCAAGGCAAGCCAGGGCTTGCAAATCCATCCCTTTATCCTACTCCCATTTCAACAGCAAAAAAGGATGATGTCAGGAGCTGCCGATGACAGTGCTCACAGCAAGGTGGAGAAACACAGCGGTCCTGAACTGGAGCAAACGGGAAGGTGTGAGCTTTATTTGTTTGTTTGTTTGTTTGTTTTCTGTTTGCCTCTCAAACCTGAGCAGGTACCTTCCCTTCTAGCAGGTTCCTGGGGTTAGATGGCTGAGTGAAGGGGCTCCACGTTACCAGCGTGGTCCCCTGGGCTGGGCAGGTGGGAGATCTGGGCAGCTGGGCACAGCCACAGCATCACTGCACACAGGTTTTCCTGATTTGGGGTGGAAGCAGATGTGTAAGTGCCTCCAGGTAGAGCTCTGCTGCTTCCCAAAGCAAGGGACTGTTGCAGTAAGAGGGGATAGGCTCTCAGGTTGGGTCCTTTGTCTTTTGGTTGGAGGGGTGTGTTTGAGGGCCTGTTTCTGCTGGGTATGAAATGGGAGGAGGCAAGTGCTTCTGTGGAGCAGCGCCTGTGAGGGCCCTTCTTCAGCAGAGCAAACTCCGTGTGTTCTTCCGCGAGAACAGTCTATATTTTTATTGTCCGTTCCTCCAGGCTCTTTGGAGGTTTGATCCGGGATGTGAAGAGGAAAGCCCCGTGGTTCTGGAGCGACTTTCGGGACGGACTGAGGCTGCAGTGTCTGGCGTCCTTCCTCTTCCTCTACTGTGCCTGCATGTCCCCCATCATCACCTTCGGGGGGCTGCTGGGGGAGGCGACCGACGGCCACATCGTGAGCACCTCTCTCTTGGGTGGCACAGGGGAGGGTAACACTCGTGCAAAAGACCTTGCTGCAGTGAATTTGCTCTGGTTTGTTTTGGTTTTTTTTTCCCCTCATGATTTATTCCCTGACTGCTGCCTTCCTTCCCCGGACAGAGTGCCATGGAGTCGCTGCTGGGCGCATCCATGACCGGCGTGGCGTATTCCCTCTTTGCCGGCCAACCTCTCACCATCCTCGGCAGCACCGGACCCGTCCTTGTCTTTGAGAAGATCCTCTACAAATTCTGCAAGTAAGGCTGCCTGCTGCTGCTGGGTGCTGCCAGAGTCTTCAGAAGGCAGCAGTGATGGAGAAACGATGTTTTTCTTCTTTTTTTCGGTGGTAGTTGTTAGATTTGTCTTCTGTGTCCAAGACATTGCCTGCTGCTGCTGCTATAGTATGTGATGGTGCAAGAGCCCTCAGCCTCTGAGGGATGGATGGGGGCGTTTGGGATTTCAAGGGTTGAAGTACAGCAGTGGCAGGAGGAGAAGCCACAAGAATGTGGATGCCCAAGATGGGCTGCACAAGGAAGATGAGACAAATCAGTCTGGTTTGGGAAGGAGGGAAGACTTGCTTTTCTCCGAGTCCAAAAGCAGGCACTTCCTAGCCTGGATTTTGCAGGGAGAAGAAAGACATTTTTCCCAAATATCCAAATAGCTTTTCTGTGTTTGTCCATCAGGGAGATGGGGGAGAACACCATCTTGCACACCAGCTGCAATTAGCCTCAATTAGATGAGTACTAAATGATGATAATGAAATAACTGGCCTCTCCTCCTGCAGCCCCCTACCCTGCACTGCAGCACCAAGGCAGTCTGTGGTAGTACGTGGAAACTGCATTTACCCTCCACAGCCTTGATGGGCTCCTAAATTGCTTCCCCCTTCACGGGAAGGCCTGGCTTGGAGCCTCGTGCTGGCCTTCCCACCCTTGGTGTCATTTTGGTTTCCCAGGGACTACGCGCTCTCCTATCTCTCTCTGCGGGCGTGCATTGGGCTGTGGACTGCCTTCTTCTGCATAGTGCTGGTGGCCACCGATGCCAGCTCTCTGGTGTGCTACATCACCCGCTTCACCGAAGAAGCCTTCGCCTCCCTCATCTGCTTCATCTTCATCTACGAGGCTCTGGAGAAGCTGAGTCACCTGTGGGAGATCTACCCTGTGCACATGAACAGCAAGCTTGACTTGCTCACCACCTACTAGTGGGTTTTTCCTCCTAAAACATGGCTGCCCCTTGGCAGGAGCCCAGGGCTACACCTTCACTGCCTTCCCCTGACCCCTCTCTTGGCCTATTTCCTCCCAGCTGTAAGTGTGAGGCACCGACCCATCCCAGCAATGAAACCCTGCGCTTCTGGGAGAGCAACAACATCACTGTGTCTGGCATCGCCTGGGAAAACCTCACGGTGACTGTAAGTGCCCTGAGCCACTGCTGGGGGAAGGGACGATTTGTCTCTTACCCTTTCCTGCCATGGCTCTCTTAGACCTCCTTCCCCCTTCCCTCTTTCTCTATCCCCAAGAGTTTCCAGTGTTTCCTTCCCCTCTGGTGTCTTCTTCAGCCACGGCTACCTGCCATTCTGGGGGAGGATGTGCCGTGACTCTGTGTTATGGTGTCCCATCACATCCCATCTCTCCACTCTCCTCTCTGTGTTCCATGTGTCACTCGTTCACCTGCTGCTGCTCATTAACTATAAATCTCCAGCAGCAGCAGCAGCAGTCACAGGACCTTTGACCACGATCCTCAAATCCCGCTTGTTATCCCAGGTTTCCTTGCCGCACGTGCACTGCGTGTCCTGACGCTCTGTTTCTCCAGGAATGTCGGTATTTGCATGGAGAGTTTCAAGGATCTGCCTGTGGACACAACGGCCCCTACGCACCCAATGTCCTCTTCTGGTGCTGCATCCTCTTCTTCTCCACCTTTGCACTGTCGAGCTTCTTGAAGAAGTTTAAAACCAGCCGTTACTTCCCAACCAGAGTAAGCAAAAGATGGTGGCCTGCAGCAGTTTCCATGCTCATTTCCCAAAATGGCTTTCCTGGAGCACTGAGCAGTGTTTGCCAGCACTTGGTCAAGCTGGGAAACACCGACCTTGGAGACCGAGCTCTCCATCAGCTGCCATGTCCCTCACTCATTTCCATGAGTGCAAAGCCATTGTAGCATTTCCCACCTGCCTTGCGACCTGCCCCAGAGTGATTTTTTGATCATGCAGTGGGAAATCAGGTCTTCCAAAGCGTTGGGTTTTTTCCCCCCTTCTGTGCATCATGTGCTCAAGGGGAAAGTTGGTTCAAATGAGGAACAAATGGTGCTTCAGTGCCTTATTCCCGTTGTAGCGGTGAGCGTGGCTGTAGCGGCAGACATCCATTTCCTTATTTCTTGATTTTTTTTTTTTTTTTTTGGATGGTCTGAATTCAAACAACCCTTTTCCACCCAATTAAGCACCAGATCTCCCAGGGACAAACACAGCAGCAGCAGCAGCACCTAACCAAGGGATCTGGCTGCATGTCTGCAGAGGTGGTGGGGGGTGCGCGTTGTTAACCAACCTTCACGTTGTTGATGTCCCCAACTCTTCCACCTCGTGTTAGGGCCCCGTTTGCAATGCCCCTCTCAGCTCTGGTTCTTGCTCCAGGTACGGTCCACAGTAAGTGACTTTGCTGTTCTCCTCACCATCGTCATCATGGTGCTCATGGACTTCATGGTTGGGATCCCATCCCCAAAGCTCCACGTCCCCCATATGTTCAAGGTAATGGAGGGGTTTGGCTTGGAGCTGGTTTCAGCTCTTGGGGATGCCCCAAGGGGATGTCGGGGCAGGGCAGGTCTGAGTCTGGAGGAGGTGCTGGTGGTGTGACCATCTCTTCTTCCACCTCTGAACGCATCGTTTCCTTCTGGAAATGAGAAGGCAGCCCCAAAGTAGATACCTACAGGAGAAGTATCTGTAGGTGCTTGCACAGAGGACGCTGGCACTCTGAACCCCACGGGAGAGGGTGACATGAAGCCAGTGCTGGGGGATGCTCTGACACAGGCAGGGAGGGAAAATCAAAGCCAGTGAAGGGGCTGGGCTGGGAGATGATGCTGAGGTATGAGCTTTGTTTGCAGCCTACCAGAGACGACCGCGGGTGGTTCATCAACCCCATAGGACCCAACCCTTGGTGGACGGTGTTGGCTGCGCTCATCCCAGCTCTGCTCTGCACCATCTTGATCTTCATGGACCAGCAGATCACTGCTGTTATTGTGAACAGGAAGGAGCACAGGCTGAAGGTAAGGGGCTGCAAGAGAGGGGCTTGTGCTCAAGTAGGGTTTGAGCCTGACTTGTGACGTTGTCCTTGCTCTTGTGCCGCGGGGTGCTGTATCTCATGTTTTGCTCCCTGCAGAAAGGATGCGGGTACCACCTGGACCTTTTCATCGTGGCCGTGATGCTCGGGGTCTGCTCAGTGATGGGGCTGCCCTGGTTTGTGGCTGCGACTGTCCTGTCCATCACCCACGTGAACAGCCTCAAAGTAGAGTCCGAGTGCTCAGCTCCAGGAGAACAACCCCAGTTTCTGGGGATACGAGAGCAGAGGGTCACTGGCTTGATGATCTTCGTGCTCATGGGCTGCTCCGTCTTCTTCACTTCTCTGTTAAAGGTGAGAGGAAAATGCAAAACACCCAACCACCGTGAGCTTTTTGGGGGTTATGCACAAGAAGTCCCCTCTCTGCAGGGCTGAGTGATTGTGGAGCAGAGGAGGAGGTGATCCCAGACCTTGGGGCTTGACCTGCAGTAGGAACCAGCCTCGGCCACGCTTTCCAGCCCTTCAGAGCCCTGTTTGCTGTGCTCGAGGCAAGCGAGCAATGCAGCGGCTTTAACTTTCAGGCATCTTTCAGGCCCACCTGTTGTTTATGGGTTGCAACTAAGGGTATTCAGAGCAGGACATCTGCTCTCTTTCAAACAGGCAGTACTTCACTGGTTGCAGTTTGCTGCTCCCAATGCCCCAAAACTGCCGTTGCCAGTAGCTGAACACACTGACATCGTCCCCATGGTCTCCCTCACACAAAGTGATCTCATCTCGAGGCTGAAAGCAGGCACGTCACTTTTGCATGTTGCCACAAGCATATGTAGAAACAGAACATGGCATATGGTAGCATGGGTGAAGTCACCTCTTTTCCTCCAACCTTTCGGGAAAAGAGGATTATTCTCATGAAAGAACTCCAAGGTTCAGCCTAAAGCAGAGCATTAGCTCACTTGCACACACAGAATCTCTGAGGGGGAGAATCCGACACACCTCTAACCCTGTGGAAAGTGGAAACCTGTAGGCAATTTTAGGCAGTGCCTGTAGAAGAGAGAGATAATACTGAAAATGCAATTTAACACCCCAAATGATTGCATTCTTTGTTTTCAGTTTATACCAATGCCGGTGCTTTATGGTGTTTTTCTCTACATGGGCGTGTCGTTGCTCAGAGGCATTCAGGTATGGACTCTTGTGCAGCATGCCGGCTCCCTGGTATTTCACCTCTGTAGAAGCAGGAAAAAAGCAGCAGTGTGGGAAAAAACCTCTCCAAAAGCGAGCAATGACAATCTTTGGTGTAAGGGAAAGATTGGTGGAGGCACAGCAGGTATAGAGGGCTGGGAGGGGCAGGCGGGTTCAGTGCTCTCTGTTACACAGTTTAGAGCAGGTCAGTGTTTGGTTCTGTGAAAATGGGGGAATTCAGTGCAAATGGGCAGTTTCTCCCACTGGTGGAAATCCTTGCTGGGGGATTCAGTGGGCCACAAAAGGCTGCTAATAGACCAGCGTGGAGTAACAGCAATTTGGTGGGCAGCCCTCATGGGCAAGCTGGTTTATAGACGGAGCGAAGGGAAAATGAGTGCTGCTCCCAGGAGGAACATAGTGGGATCCAGGATTTCTCACTGCAGGTGAGGTCCTGAAAACGCCTCCCACATCTCAACAGGGCCAGAAACTTCCCGCAGTCCCAAGGTGGCCACTTGTCGCTTTTATTTTGCAGTTCTTTGACCGCCTGAAGCTGTTCTGGATGCCGGCAAAACACCAACCGGATTTCCTCTACCTGCGGCACGTCCCCTTGAGAAAGGTGCATCTCTTCACCATGATCCAGCTGATCTGCCTCGTCCTGCTCTGGGCCATCAAGGTGTCCCGCGTCGCCATCATCTTCCCCATGATGGTAAGAGCCGGTGCCGCCGGGCAGCGGGATGTTTGCAGCGCTGGAGGGAGATGTAGCCTCATCTCTGGCCTCACTGCTTCTTCCCTCTGACTCGTGAAGGTTTTGGCTCTCATTTTTGTCCGGAAGATGATGGATTTCTGCTTCTCGAAGCGAGAGCTCAGCTTTCTGGATGACCTTATGCCAGAAAGCAAGTCGTTGGATGGTGCCAAGAATGAAGCTGAAGGAGAAGAGGTAACACTTGCTGGGGGCTGGGGCTGGACATCACCCTCAGGCTGTGAGATCGCCTGTTTCTATCACAGCTTGTCTTGAAATGTTGGGGGAAGGTCAGGACTCAGCAGAAATAGATCCTAATAGCCTGGATCCCACATTGCAACCTTTCTTCCTAAATTAGGAGGGAGCTTAACACTTGAATTGAGGTATAATCTTTTAAATGAATTATTTATAACAAAGATGATTGTTATGGAAAGCTTTGCCCATAATGGTGTTTTTAACCTCCAGTCTTTGGAGTGAAAAGACTTTACCCTGCTGCACTCACAGCTAAAGCTGCCAAGGGTCAGAAGGAGAGGGCAGCAGGCACTGGTTTTGCTGGGTGTTTAGTTTACGCCCACTTGGGTCAAAGACAGAGAACTTGATTTGTCCCTCTTACACCAGCAGCCCCAGAAGATGATGGAAGCTGCTGCTACAAAGTCAGTTCAGCTAAAGCTGGGGAAGACAAGGGACTCAGCTACCCCAAAGGAGAGCAGTGACAGGTAAAGCCCTGCCTGGCGCCACGACCCACAGCAAGATTGGTTGGAGGATGTTTGGAGAGATTTCCCCCCTTGTATATTTATGGAGCATCCCATATAAAGCAGCAGTCAGCTTGGTGGGAAATGCCAGTTTAGGGGCAGGGCTGCAGGAGGTGATGGCAAAGCTCTGACCCCAAGCAGAGTGGCTGCTCAAGTCACACGTTTGACCCCAAAACTGGCCTCATCAGAGACTTGACAGTGGCTGGAGATCCTCACGCTTAACAATGAGGAGTTGCAGGCACGATCCGTACCAGCGGTGGCGGCTTAGGAGCCCACTGCAGGGCCAAACACCGGCAAGAGCCTTTGCTGGAGCTGTTGCTCTGCAGCTCTCTGGTTTGCCTCCCCAAACTACTCAGCCAGCACAACCTCCTGTGCTTATGCTGAGCTTTGGTTCTCTGCCCGCCCTGTGCCTCATGCTGCTGCGCTTGATGGCGTAAGTTCCTGTCCTCACGGGTTGCTGTGTGAAATATTTCTTGCAGGGCGGCTCCTGGCACATTTGATATCTGGAATGACACGTACAAACCCACCGTGTAACGCCCACAGGGGCAGGCAGGACCCTGACCCGCCGGGGGAGCAGGACGCGGACGATGGGGATGCACCCATGGACATGGCACAGATAACAAAACAGTTGATGATGCACCTTGTTGTAGGGTCTCTGGTGTGCAGCGGGCCCTGGGGGAGTGAGATCCCACACACAATTCCCGGGGGTCCCCAGGCTGCCGGGCCCCTGCCGGCCCCACTGGTGGGAGCTGCCCGACGCTTCCCTAGGGGGGCAGAACGTGAGCTGGGAGAGAGGGTTTGTCAGGGCTGGGGCTGGTGCCCAGAAAGCGGGTTCGTCGCCCACTGGGCAACAAGTCAATAATCCCACACATTTATTGTAGGCTTGCGCAAGCCTGGGGGCTCGGCACTTTCCCACAAATCAAGCACCCCAACGGGTCTCTTCCTGCTAGAATTATACACAGAACTTGCAGAGTTAGTAATCTCCCAAGCCCATCCTCTCTAGGAGGATGGGTTAGTAATTTACATACAACTATAACACTGCTGACACAAGACTTCTACTCTACGCATGTTCAGGGGAAGGGTCTTCACCTGGCCAAGGGTCTGCTTGACCTACAGGCAGGATGTTTAGTATTCTCGTGAGGGCAGTTCAGTGAAGGATACCCGGACCTTGAGTTTGCTTGCCCAGTTGGCAATGTACACCCTTCAAGGTCAAACGGCTCCAGTCTGTCCTGGCTCAAAGGCAGCTGTCGACTTGTTCTGCTGATGAGGGATGACTTTGGCTTTAACACGGCCAAAGGACATCTTGCTTGACCTAAGCATGGCTACGCCGTGCTTAAAGTTTAATCTTCAAGACCACTGCTTTAAAAACAGGGAAAAGATCATGTCTCAATTAGAAAATAGTTTGCTGAGAACCAGACAGAATCTGGGCAGTGATACTGCTTGGTGGATGCTGGAGTATCTGCCGTACATCTCTGAGTGCACAGGGGACTGTCGACAGGTTCTGTAAGAAACAACTGTTTTCAAAAAGACTTCTTCATAGAAAAAGTTGGCTCCGTGCTTAAAGGGGAAATCCCCATAGTACGTTTCTTCTGTCATTCTGACAGATTTGACTGTTTCCAAGAAGAGATGGCTCCTTCCTCTGAAAGGGAAAAGATCCATAATGCTACTGTTTGACTCCAATGGATAAAACAATTTGCTAGCCTACAGTTTCAATTCATTGCAACTCCACCACTTTCTCCATCTTAAAATGCAAAGCCTCTAAGAGGAAAGGATTGGGATTGCCATCTCAATGCCCAGGGGAAGGACACCGGCAATTGACACTTCATGATTAACCGAGAACAGATAAGGAAGACTTAATGCCTGCAGGCCACTGACCCACCCTCCTGCCATTTTCTGGGACAGGAAAAGGTAAAGGGGAGAGTTGCAGGAAAGCCAGATGTGATGGTTTGACTCTGGCTAAATGCCAGGTATCCACCAAGTCGCTCTATCACTTCCCCCCCTCCCCCTTCCCCTTGTTTTCTCAATAGGGTAAAGAGGGGAAAGAAGATAAACTAACCCTTGTGGGTGAAACAAATGCAGGTTTAATATAAGAAAAGCGAAGCAAAAGTACGCGCGCGGAAGCAAAAGCAAACAGATTTAGTCTCTACTTCCCATGGACAGGCGATGTTGGGCCTTCTCAGGAAGCAGGGCTCCAATACACGTAGTAATACATGCTGACCCAGCCCCTGCCTCCTTTCTCCCAGCTTTATACTGAGCAGACGTCATATGGTATGGAATATCCCTTTGGTCGGTTCGGGTCAGCTGTCCTGGCTGTGTCCCCTCCCAAGATCTTGCCCACCCCATCCCACTGGGGGAAATATCAGAAAGAGCCTTGGTGCTGTGTAAGCACTGCTCAGCAGTAGCCACAACGCCAGGGTGCTATCAACACCCTGCCAGCTCCCAGCATAAACCACAGCACCGTGAGGGCTGCTATAGGGGAAAACCAATTCCAGCTCAGCCAGACCCAGTACACCAGAACAGACAGGTGGGCAGAGACTAAGGCTCTGAACAGCTCCTGACAGAGCCTCTTGGGCCTTTCTCATCTAGAAATTAAGGACTCACAGGCAGGATAAACAGACTGTTACGTGGGTTGAAAATTTTCTGGACTACCAGGCTCAAAAAATGACTGACAGCAGGACACTTGGCCAGCGGCTATAACACGCGGAGCACCCCGAGGACAGGTGCTGGGGCCCACACGGCTCAGCATTTTCACTAGTTGGTGGCTTGGTGACACCCAGCACAGCCGGAGCAAACTGACAGGTGACTGGCTCTTTAAAGAAACTCCAGGACCTTAACAGAGACCTCTGTGACCTGGAGGGTGAGGCAGGATCCAGTTCATGGAGCTCAACAAGGAGATGTGCCACGTTCTGCAGCAAGGCTAAAACAAACCCAGGCACTGGTACTGTTACCTGAAAAGCGGCTTCGTGCCCGGCATGCAGTAACCCGATCTGGGCACGCTCAGCAGGGATGGTGGGATTATTCAGGCCTGGGTGCTGGGTGGACTTTTCCACAAATCAAGCTCACCAATTGCACTTTTTCATGCTCCTTTTATACACAACAATCAGAAGCTAGTACTTTTCCATAACACGCCTACTAGGTACTGATTGGTTAGTCATTGTCATACAATTACAATAAAGCTCACCTAACACTTCTAATGCTACTAACGCTCAGGGGAAGGGTCTTAACGTGGGCAGGGGTCTTTTTGACCTGTGGGTGTGTTTTTTAGTATTATAATGAAGGTAGTTCACTTCCAGGACACTCCAAAGTTGGTTTCATTGCCAAGTTAACCGATCAATTAATGACTTTGTCAGGCTGTCAAACAACTCCTTCTCAGCACAATTCTATACATTGTCCTTATGGCCCAGGACCTTCTAGTTATTTTCCCGGGTATGGAGAACAAAGCCTGTTCTTTACAAATTTCAGGGTCTCACCTGACCGATCTCACTGTTATCCCCAGGTGTGCAGGAGCTACAGCTACTACCATAATCATCGACCATGGAATTTAGTAAAGATGAAGTACACTGTATCACCAGCAGAACAGGCACAGGGAAATACCTGATGCCCAGGAAACCAACAGCTGCCGATGTTTTTGCCATGAAAGGCTGGAAGCACTAAACCACTGAAAGTCAGACTGAGGAGTTTTCTTGCCTTTTGATGTTTGAGGCTCTTTCAAAGAGCACCCCAGGATGACACACCCCCCACACCTCTGCAGACATGCAGCCAGATCCCTTGGTTAGGTGCTGCTGCTGCTGCTGTGTTTGTCCCTGGGAGATCTGGTGCTTAATTGGGTGGAAAAGGGTTGTTTGAATTCAGACCATCCAAAAAAAAAAAAAAAAAAA